GTTGTCGTCGTTGTCGTCGTTGTCGTCGTTGTCGTCGTTGTCGTCGTTGTCGTCGTCGTAGCTGTTTGTAAACACGATAACTCAAAAAATAATTGAGATAATCGAAATCTGGAAATGCCAAAAGTTTTGTATCCAAAAAACTTAGTTTAAGTTCGAAGATGAGCCATTTTCGATTTGATCCTGGGGTACTTGCCCTAAGAAAAACCTCAAAAAATTGACACTTTTGTATGAGAGGTACCCGTAAATTGGCTTCAAATTGGGATTTCATTTTTCGGAAGAAAAATAAGATTCTGAAAGTTTGAAACCAATCGGAATCGATTTACGGGTACCTCCCATACAAATTTTTTGAAATTTCGACTAAAATTACCGATTTTTGGACAATTTTGTATGGGAGGTACCCGTTAATTGATTCTGATTGGCTTCAAACTTTCTGAGGTTTCATTTTTTGGAGAAAAAATAAGATTCTGAAAGATTCATGTTGATCGCATTTGCAGAAGTTTGATTTTTGGCCCTCAATTTTCGTGGAAATTTTCTTGGAAAAAATTGTGAAATGACGAAAAAAAGTGAATTTGCATAAAAACATCAAGGTAGGTCTACATGAATTTTGCGCTAACATCCAATCTTATGTTATTGAGCTGAAAATTTTTAGGCACACTTTTTTAGACCTAAGAAAAAATTTTCGGGGTTGGGAGCCAGTATTTTCGAAACTTGCTGCAATTTGCACCAGTCTAATACTCATTTGTTTCACTGCCAAATTGGCAGCGATAAATTCTGCATTTTTCATGAAACGAAACAATGATTTTTAAACTTACTGTAAATATACTGAATTGCACGCGCCAATCGAGTGGATGTGTTTTTATTGGGAGCATCAAAAATTTATTTGCATGAAATAAGCAACGATTTTTGCAGACGAAAGTAAAACATGATACTGAAATCAATGTAATGTACATTGTACTGCAGCATTTTTATGATGATCATTGGTTTTGATAAAGGAAAAAATATAGTTTTAAATGAAAAAGACACGGAAAAAAGACGAAAAAAAGTTTCGTCAAGAAATTTTTTCCACTATTCGGAGTTTCGGTTTTCCGTTATTAACAGGTCAATTTGTATGGGAGAGCTCAACGGCCAAATTTTTTTTCCACTATTGACACGATTTCCACTATTCCCAGGTTCCGTTATTCACAGGTTTTACTGTATTACATTTGAGATGAAAAGTTATAGAAAATGAAGAGTCTTACCGATGTAAGACGAACTTTTCCGCACTGTTGTCCAAAATAAAAGGGACCGAAAAGGTTTTTTTTTTAAATAAAACCGATTCAAGACCTGATTGATAGAGTAGTGTGTGAAGTCAAAAGTTGGTTTGTCAATGGCTTATATCCGATTTTGTGCACAGAGCGCGAATATTCGAAGAAAATTTAGCATACAAATTCATATTTAACACCAATATTTATTTGAATATTTGAAAAACCTCCTATAAAAAAGATCGAATTTTAAAGGAATTGAAAAAAAATGTAGGTTTAATGCCGAAGACGTAGGGAAGTAGGCGTTCTGTTGTTTTTGGACCACTATCATTTTCAACAAAAAACTAGTGCTTATATGATACATAATCTCAAATATTATTTGACAAATAATCACACTTCTCGACCCCATGGAGATATCAGGTAGGATCAGTTGATACTGCAGATCGATTTCTCGCCAAAAATTAGGTGAAAAGAGTCATTAAGAATAATCACAAGTTGTTTTCTGAATGGGACATGGACAATTCTGCGTGCAAAATGCGACAATTTGGAAGAATTTCGAAACACATACACACGCAGATTTGACACTCAAACGATAGAAAATTCAAATTTCATCGAATCAACTTTTGGAACTGAACAGCCTCTAACAGTCGCAAAAGATATGGAATAGTGAATTGCTAAATAAAAAAAACATTATTTGAATTCGATACTTTTTTATTGATGCTTTGCATTACATTATTGGAAATTTTTTCGAAAAAAGAACAATTTGTTTATTTTTATCCCAGAATTGTGAACTTACTACCTACAACTTCCTAGTTAGACTTAATTTTCGAACACAATTAAATTATTAAGATTACTCATTGTTCTATTTGCGTTAAATCGATTTTTGAATTCTGAGGGTGAAATTTGTCAGGTGTGGATTTTGGTTGATTGCTTATGACATACAAACTGTCTACTGTTGAATGAACACTCGAAGATGTTTGCCGCTGACTGCATTCTGATGTATTTCCTTCTTCATCACTGATACTTGTGGCATTGGGTGATGAAGACAAGGTTGACGATAAGTTAATCATTTGCAATTTATTTTTACGTGCCCGACCAATTGGCGTTCGTGCAAAACTATGTAAGCAAAATTTACATTGAAAAATTAGAAATGGGTTATTTATTGACTTACTCTAACAAGTATTATCCCCATACGAAAAGAAAAATAAACAGTAACTGAAAATCTGTGATATTTTTTCAAGCATCCGTATTAATTTTGTATTATGAATCGTGGAATACTTGTAGCACCATTCAATGTAAAAATAATACAAGTGGAATATGAGACACGGATGTAATATGCAAGGCTAACAAAAATATTTACGAAAAACCTTCAAAATATTTATTAAGTATTTACCTAAAGGATATTTTTATTCATATGTTCTACTCAACCTGTTCTACAACTTTGTTCAAGACAAATTTCTCTTATCTCTTATCAGTTCTGTAAAAAATGATATGGAAAATCTCGCGTTTTTCGCGTTTTTGACGGTTTTTCGCGGAACTGATAAGAGATAACGGAATAGTGTTTGCAAGAATATTTTAGTACTTGACATGCTCTATAACTTTGCTCAAGTTACAAATCGTTTATCTCTTATCACACTCTAGTTTTCATACAAAAATGCACTTGGGGCACTCAGGCACCGGTTTCACGAACAACATTATAAAATAGGTTTCACGGTTTGAAGGTTAAATAAATATTTTTGTTAGCCTTAGTAATATGTTATTTCCATGGAAATTGTATATCAAGGTGTGGTTTCGACGTGAAAATAATGAGTAAAAACCAAATACGCGAATAAAACGTTCATTTTTTCAAGCTTTTTGTGCATATTATTGTATAATATGTAATTTTTTATTTCCTGATCCCATTCGGTACCCTTAACTCATCACAAGTAGGCACTGTCTATTTTCGCCTGATTTCGGGAATTTGGAAATTTTGTCTAAATTCGCGACGCAATCACTAGTCTTTGAGAATATAGAGACCCGGACGCTGTGAATTTAGACAACCATTCTAAATTCCCGACGACTGATAACTTTTAGTCAGCCAAAAGTCCGAAATTAATCGGCTAGCTACTCAAACAAAAAACTTCTAAATGAAAATATATAACATCTTAGAAAAATACAAATAAATACACATTGTTCAAACCAAGTAAAAAAATTGATAATGTTGATAAATACTCGTCGTGTGCATTTGCATCCACTAATGACCTTGTCGGGATTTTAGAAACGTTGTGTATAATTCACGATGTCCGGATTTCGTTAATTTAGAGACATTTCCTATATTCCCGAAGACTAGCGATTGCGCCGTGAATTAAGACAAAAATTTCATATACCCGAAGCCAACGTGAAAATAGACAGTGCCCTAGAAGCATCTTTCCAACGATAAAAACTCTAGATTTTGTTTACATTTTATCATCTAAACATACCTTTTTCTTCGCAGTGAAAAGTTTCGGTCAGTTTCCTCTTCACCTTCCTCGTCAGTCCAACTATCATCTCCATCATCATTATTGCAATTGTAATCACTAATTTTGTAACATACATTCGACGGGTCACGACTGCGGTCGCTATTAGTGTGAGCATTGTTACTCCGACTAAGGACCGTAACTTCTTTGTCAGTAATACTGATACAGCTTCGACGTGCTGCCATAATATTGAATAATAAACGATTTTCAATCATAGATCCATTCCCATTGTCCGCTGATTGTATTAAACCATTCTGATTGAAAAAATTACTAACACGACGATTCAATTTTTCTACGTTGTCCTCATCACTACTTTCACGAATATCTACAATATCTAGTTGCTCATTACTATTCATATAATCGTAGATTCGATCCGTTTCATAATGAGTATTGGATGTTGATATTATGTTTCCATTGTTCAAATAAATTTCCTCCGACAAATCTGAGGCTCGTTGTGCTTCTTCTTCCTTTTCTCCTTCATGCGATGAGTCGTCTTTAAATTTAAATTCAGTGGATGTGAATGAAGATTTTACTGACATAATTGGAAGTTCAAAATTTGGACTGTACTCTGTGACATTATCATTATCAATTGTATCGGTTTGCGTTTCCATGTGCACCATTTTTACATTGCGACGGTCGATTTGTTTGGGTGTGAAAGTGAAACTGTAATTGCTATCAGCAGATCCAAGCCGTCGGTGTCGAATTTTTTTCTGTGAAACTAAAACATTTCCTGTTGCTGGTGCGACAACTACTGAATGTGCTTCCTGCGAATAATTTAGCTCCGCATAAAGATTACTTTTGACTGGACTATTCGGTGTGTTTTCTGATAAACTCGATTGATTTTCTGGCGCTGACGGATAACCCTGTTCACAGTTTTGTTTGTATATTCTCCGAAGTGTGTTTGACATCCTTTTCGACATCTTATTGCCAGGAAAGTGTTTTCGTTCGCGTCTGAAAAATCAAATACAAATAAGTGGTTGAGGAAACAATGGATTTTCTTAATCAAATAGGCAAATAACACTACTCAACAGCAAAAAAAAAACCGAGAGGAGACTCTTTTTCATGGTTTTTGGGGCCGTTGAATCCGAATCTGTCATTGTCAATATTGTTCCCTAAAAACGTTACATGAATTTCCATCTAACGCGAGT